GAGGCTGCTGGGATTAGAACTGGTGCTCATACTGGATCCCAGCACGTGCAAGACAAGGACTTTAACCACTAGGCTTCTGTGCTGGGCCTTGGAATTGGTTCTTGAAAAGCTTGGTGTAACTCACCACTGCAGCCACCAGGCTCGGGCGTTTCTGCTGACAGTGATTTAGTCTCCATCTTAGATATTTGGTCTAGTGAGGTTTTGTTTTTCACCATGATGCACTTTTGGTAGATTGTGTCTGAAAATCTGTGCTCTGTGTCCCAGGTTTTTGGCATATCCCTGTTTATACCAAGTCCTCATGAGTCTTTGTTTATCTAGGTTGTCTGTTGTTATAGATCTCCTTTTTCAACTCTGACTTACTGATCAGGTCTTCCTCTTCTCGGGGTGGCTTAGTTGGACTCGTGGTATATTCATGTTATACTTTCTGAAGAGCAGCTCTTCGGCTCACTGCGTCTTTTTGGTGAAATTTTATTTCTTCTCTAGCTATTTCCTACTTCCTACAATTTTCTTCCATCTCCTTTTGTCTTCCTGTATCTGCGGAAAGGGCGGAGAGACAAGGAGATGGCCGCAGCAGGATGTGAACTGGCACCCGTATGGGATCCCGGTGTATGCAAGGTGAGGAATTAGTCACTAGGTTACTATGCTGGGCCCGATCCTGTGATTTTCAAAGTGGATGGAGTTCTGAATATAGTGATCAGTAGGGGAGTCCCCTGAAAAGCTCGTTAAGCTGACTCCTGTGTGCCAGCCAGAGTGGGGTCCGGCACACTCCGTCACCCGTAGCAGCCTACACACCTGTGTTGGATCAGCTCTGTCTCCAGCTCCATCGCATGCAAACCAGTGGATGCTGAGACCCAACTCCCCCCTGGCCACCACCACACACTTGGCCTGACACACACCTGCGGGAACTGCAGCCCAGAGAAACCCCAGCAAACCCCCCAGGCTTGCCCCCAGCCCCAGTTCCTATGCATTGCCAGTGTGTGCAGCCGACTGGTCCAGTTTGTCCCGCGACCCATTTGGCTTTAGTGCACATCAATTGGTGTTGGAACCTAGCTCAACTTCCCAAGCCCCATCCAGGCCACGCTCCATTTTGCGGTCCCACTGCCTACCCAGCCGTCCCGTGCCCTGCCCGGGTTCTCATGCTCACCAGTGGGAGCTGCAGTTGGGATTGTTGTTGATTTCCATGTTCATTCCATAGTGGTCAGGAATGATACATGGTACAAATTTAGTTTTCTTTTCGATTTGCTGAGGCTTGCTTGCTTTATGGTCTGGCATAGGGTGTTAGAGTAAGTTCCATGCATTAATGAAAATAATGTATCGTCCAACTGTAAGATGAAATGTTCTGTAGGGATGTTAGGTTTATTTGGTCATAGTATAGATGAGCTGTGTTGTTTGTTTCCATCTAGTGGATCTGTCCACTGATAAAAGTGAGGTGTTGAAGCCTCATTATATCGGCATCTGGGTGTCCCTTTAGCGCCATTAATAATTGTTTTAAATAGTAAGGTTCCCTTGTGTACCTGGCATTGGGTGCACACACATTTATTATAATCACATCTTTTGTTGAATTGATCCCTTAATCATTAGGTAATGACCTTATTCTGTTGCTCTGGGATATCTTTCCTGTAATTCCACTTTCATTTCATGTGTTGTGTTAGTGTGGTCTATCTTGTAAGCCTCAAATAAATGGTTTTTGTTTTCGGGTCCATTTAGATCCAACTTGCAAGAGCGCGTCTTTTGATCGGACACTGAGGCGCTCACGTGCAGGGTTACTGCTGATCCTGCTCGTTCATGAACAGCCCACTGTTTGGGTTGAACTGCCTTTGTATTTTCTCCCTTCACATTCTTTCACTACAGTGACCATCGCTATTTCTGTGTGCAGCGCGTTCTCAGGCATCATATTTAAGACTGGACGGGTGGTGGCAGATTCCTTCCATTTCTGTTTTGGAAGGACTTTATTTCATCTTCAACAAATGGGAGCTTTGGATACAGCATTCTCAGCTGGCAGTTCCTTTTACAATGGAGAGATATCCCATCTGTTTCTAAGCCCATTTAAAAAAACATTTTTTGTTTTATTGGAAAGGCAGATACACAGATTCACTCCCTAAGTGGCTGCAATGGCCAGAGCTGAGCCGATCCGAAGCCAGGAGCCAGGAACCTCCTCTGGGTCTCCCACACGGGTGCAGGGTCCCCAGGCTTTGGGCCGTCCTCAACTGCTTTCCCAGGCCACAAACAGGGAGCTGGATGGGAAGTAGAGCTGCCGGGATTAGAACCGGCGCCCATATGGGATCCTGGCATGTTCAAGGTGAGGACTTTAGCTGCTAGGCCACTGGGCCAGGCCCTTGACGTATGAATTGTAAAATCAGGATTCAGTTCATCTAAATTTATAATTTCATGTCGGGTTTTTCAGCCGGACCTTTCGCTTCTAATCCAAATTTGATTACTTTGTTGGACGAAGGAAAGGAACCTGGAATGGCTGTTAGGGACGGGAGAAGAAACTGCTGCCCTGGTGAGTAAGGCCCGAGCAGGCAGTGAGGAAGTCAGTACTCCAGGTGCCGTGGCCGGGTGCGATGGGCTGTGCCCTAGAGTATTTTGGGGCTCTGTCTTCAAAAGCCCATGGGCTCTGCAGCAAAAGGCTGAACCTTGAAGCTGGATTGGAAGCGGAGCCGAAGGGATTAGAAGTGGTGTGCATATAGGATCCTGGAGCATGCAGGTGAGGACTCTAGCTGCTAGGCTACTGCGCTGGGCCCCATTATTTTGAATTCATTCCAAGCTTATCATACATTTCCTTTAGGATCTATTTCTTGTAAACTATTGTGTTAACTTGGAGGTGTCGGGTTTCCGTGCTTCTTCATGCTTCCTATGTCCCTATTTGATTGTGCACCTTCTTTTTATGGAGTAAGTTTAGTTGGAAAAGACTTTTCGATAGTTGAAATTTGGCTGTCACTTGAGTTGGTGCTTTGGTTTTAGGTGAGCCCAGAAATGTAATCTAATTTCTCCAGGGAACAGTTAGGATCAGCAGTCGTCTGCAGTTCCCGAGTTGGGTGTCCGTCAGACGCATTCATGGCAGTGACTGCGTTTCTGATGCTGTGAGGCCGGCAGGAGGCGCGGTCCCCGCGTCCCTCGGCAAGCCTGTGTGATGCTCTGTGGCATCAGTGGCACCAAAAGCCCCAAGTATTGGCTTTATACAAATTAAAATAATCCAAGAAGGGGGAGAAAGTCCCTTTTTCTGAAATGATTTATTTCCTTTGCAAATCTTTGTTTCAAAACAACAGCATGCTTAATTTCTAGGAGGTAGTGATACAGTTGTCATTGCTTATTATTTTACTTATTCAAGACTTAAAGGCGTCAAAGACAAGAAAATATGGAAAGATATTTGAGGCAATTCAAGATCAAAATCAGAAAAACTATCAATATAGCAAAAGGATATTTAAAACATGTGCTACTGCAGCTGTAGGCCAGCTAGCGGATAGGTGTTTGGAGCAGTCACCGTCCAGTGACTTACAGATGAGTTTCCTGAGACCTACGGACAAGGGCCGGTGGTCCTGCCTCGGGGCTGCACTGCGCAGCGCTCGGGAGCTCGTCCACTATGAAGCAGCGGCGGCCCCTGCCGTGCTGTCGGCCGGAAAGGCCTCTGAAGCATCACTGTCGGGGAACACGGGCTGTGGCTCAAAAGCCTAAAATAGTTACTATCTAGCTTTTTATGGTAAATGCTGGTCTCCTTTTGTTATAAACAAAGGCAAAAGATATATACTATATTAAGAAAATAAGCCACAAAGCATATAACAATTTCCTTAAAAGTCTCTAAAGAACGGGAACAAATATAGGCAAGTAATTCACAAAAGCTCAGTTGACCCTTAAACACTGAGGTATAATAAAACATGGGCAAAAAGGAGGCATAACATCCCCCCTTAAAGTCCAGTCCTGCTTAAAAAGGTCAGGAAATACACACATTCCTGTTTAATGGCAAGTTCAAGACAATAAGGCACAATCAACTATATTTTAAACATACTGTGTTGTTAAGGCAAGGAATCAAATTATAGGAATCAACTCATTCGATAGAAATAAAAGCACCAACATGCAATAATATGAATAGCAAAATTATATAATAATTGGTAAAAACAACAAATTAATGAAAGAACTGGCTATATTGTGGCCCGTCCACGTTACGGAGGTCGCAGGTGTCGTAGAGAACGCTCGGAAGCGCGTGCTTCTGTTCCCGCTGCCCTTCCGTTCCCGCTGCCCCTCCGTTCCCGCTGCCCCTCCGTTCCCGCTGCCCCTCCGTTCCCGCTGCCCCTCCGTTCCTGCCGCCCCTCCGTTCCCGCCGCCCCTCCGTTCCCGCTGCCCCTCCGTTCCTGCCGCCCCTCCGTTCCCGCTGCCCCTCCGTTCCCGCCGCCCCTCCGTTCCCGCCGCCCCTCCGTTCCCGCTGCCCCGTCCCACCGAGGCGGGGCTGGCGCAGACGCCCGCGTTGGATATCACCTCGGAGAAGCGGCGTCTGTAAGGCTTTTGTTGTTTTAATCCCTGTATTCTCCTGATTTTTGGTAAAATATATTAGCAAGTGTGAACAAGATCAGTATGATAGCACCTTTAAAAATCTTAATTCAATTCTTCGGGCAGGTATAAACTTTCTTTAAAAAAAAAAATTAAAGACTTATCCGGTAAATATTGCCAGGATATATAGAACTCACTATTAGATCATTTCCCCTTTTAAAAAAGCTCACATTTAGAAGATTTCCTTCAGTACTGCTAATGTTTATCTAGAACTGATTACCATGTAACACATTTACATTTTAACTTATTCAAAATGTGTTATTTTTGTTTAGCTCAAAAGTGCAATCCACTGGTTTGCTACATGTGAGGAATGCTGGCGCCCAGGAAGCCGCCCCTCCGGCGGGCCTGCACCAGCTTCGCCTGCACCAGCTTCGCCTGCACCAGCTTCGCCTGCACCAGCTTCGCCTGCACCAGCTTCGCCTGCACCAGCTTCGCAGAAGTTAAATAGAATATGCAGAAGGACTTCTGTCATTGTTTTTTTAGTGTTTAGGTTCTAATGTGTAAGTACACAACACACACTTCACTAATGTAACATGTCAGGTACCATTCTGCATCGGTACGTTCTTGAAAAAAAATGTTAGATTTGTTTTCATATTTCTGTAACAATAGAGGTTTATTAAACATTGATTTAGGATGCTGTCATTTTCCAAATTTGGTAAAAATGTTATACTAGACTCACAGCTGCAAATAAGTTTCTATGAGGTAGATACACAGCAAAGGAGCTACCATCTGCTGGGCAAAGTTGGGAGCCAGGAACTAGTCCAGGCCCCTCAGTGTGGGCGTCAGGGACCCCACATTTGAGACATGACTGCTGTCTCTTAGTGTGTGCGTTGGCGGGGAGCTAGGACTCAAGGCACTTGAATTGATGTGGATGTTTTAACCCCTATACCAGGTGCCTGCCCCTCAAAGATTTTTATTTAAAAATAACCTGGTACTTGGGGAATTACATAGTGTGGCTCTTTCAATCATTTCTTTTGGCTTTTTACTTTACTCAGAAAAATAGCATATTTTAGGGCTTCAGACATAACATAGAAGCTGAATATAGACACACACAAAAGATACTAAAAGTAAATGTATTTCCTACATCTTACTAAGTCAAAATTGAGTATATATATATATTTCTCCTATATGTTTAATAATGCTCTTCTATTATTTCAGGTATACTATTAAAAGGTGAGTATAAGCATTTTCTCATCTTAGTAATGATTAATGTGTATATATGAAAATATTTAGAAACTATAATTTCCTAGAACTCAGATGTTGTACAAAGTTGAATATAAACTTACAACATACACATGGATTTCCTTATTTCACTTACGTCCAAAGACGTTTCTGAACTGTTTCATCAATAACATTAAAGGTTCACATAATTCAACTAACCTCCTGTGCCAACTTAAGACTCTGCAAAATGGGCACAATTCCAAATATTACACATGCATCCTCGTTTAAGATGAACACGTTCTGTTCTGTCATTCATTACAAATGGCATTTTCCTTCCTTTTCTTATTAATATAGAAATTTTTGTAAAAATTATTTTTTAAAATGAGCCAAAAGTTCCTGCTGGAGAAATTTTGACTGAGCCTATTTTATTTTCTAATACTCTAGAACAGACATCAAAGATGCCTGGCTTGGGGGGGGGCTTCAGTAAATCCTCCCCCCCCGCCCCCTTTGCAACTCCCCTTTACATCAGGAAGTGCCTGCTTGAGCCACAGGGAAGGCTGTAAGTGAGAGCTTTTCCCTGGAAGGATTTAGACATTCAATAAAGAAAAACAGTGCATGATGTTCCTACAGTTACTGAATATAACAAAAATAGCAATTTTTAAAGCTACTAGACACTGTCCTAAAAACATAAATTTACTACCTACAGTGCAACTAAAAACGGGCTGGTAATACTAGTGTGTAAATAAGGAATTGTAGATGCAGCAAAATCATTTGCCCCTGTAGAAATGAGTTGTAGTTGTGAGGGTACATAAAAACGGACCATTTGTTTCACTTTTTCCCCCATTTTGTTCAGTCTATTAATTTTAAAGACTCAGTATGAAATAGTTAATAAAATCTGAATGGGATGGAAGAATTTTTGATATTTTTTTATACTAAGGTAGCCACCGTAATGTATGGATTATTAGGTGACTTGATAGTGAAAGCAAAGGTTTCCTACAAACCACTTTGAAACTTGTGCCGAGGGGCTGCTGGCTCCGCTCTTGAAAGGTCTGAATGGCTGATTTCTCTCTCACGCACACTGTCTTCCTAAGCTTTCTATTGTCAATTCCTTGAGGTAGACTTGTTTCTGAACCAAAAAGGCTTTCCCACTTTTACATTCATGTAGTTCTCTAATGTTTTACAAATTGAACTTGGACATCTAATATAGGGAGAATTGAACTTAGAACATAAATATGGGGAATCTTAAAGCTTGTGGCAAATGAGCATTTTCTCTTAATTCCATTTTCCAGGACTCTTCTTACGTATCCTCACAGACATCCCTCTACGGCTGCTGCGACGCAGGGACAATGACCCACTCAGGTAATTCGTGGGTGTTCGAGGCCCTGTATACACTAGTGTCTGCATCTAAGCATTCTGCATCCTCCCATTTACTTCAACCTACTGTAACAAGTAGCTTAATAGAAGAGCTATGTAAATTACTGTCCAGGGAACAATGACAAAAGCCTGATTATTTGGTATACATACAGTTGTTTTCCTTGAATATTTTCAATCCACAGTTGCTGGACTCTACAGATGCACAGAACCGGTGACAGGCTAAATTCCTTCCAGTTTCTGTCGTTAAGATTTCTCATTTTATGAATAAGAGTTAAATCAATTCTTGTCCTTAATGGTCTGGCAGGTCTTAAATCTACAATATGAATTCTGATATTTAATTAGTTAACCTCAGTGATTTCTTATAATTCTTACAATGACAAGTTTTCTTGAAACAACTATCAGTTTTTTTGATGTCAAATTCTGAGCCTTCCTACCTTTCCTCATTCACCCCTCTGTCCTGAATGGATTCTTTGGTGTTGACTAAGGTGTGAGCCACGAATAAAGGCCTTCCCACATTCCTTACACTCATAGGGCTTCTCGCCAGTGTGGATTTTCTGGTGTCTACTAAGTTCTGAGCCGCGGCCGAAGGCCTTCCCACACTGCTTACACTGATAGGGCTTCTCGCCAGTGTGGCTCCTCTCGTGGTGAGTCAGTTCCGACCTTCGGATAAAAGCTTTTCCGCATTCCTTACACTTATGGGGTCTGTCACCAGTGTGCACCTTTTGGTGTCGAACAAGTTCTGTGCTGCAAGTAAAGCCCTTTCCACACTCACTACATTTATAGGGCTTCTCACCAGCGTGAGCTCTCTGATGCCGAACAAGTTCGGAGCCACGACGAAAGCCCTTCCCACATTCCTTACACTTATAGGGTTTCTCACCAGTGTGAACACTCTGATGCCGAGTAAGATGTGAATCAGAGATGAAGGCTTTCCCGCATTCCTTACACTTATGGGGTTTCTCACCAGTATGAACCCTCTGATGTAGACTGAGTTGTGAGGCACAAGTGTATACTTTCCCACAATCCTTACATTCATACTGCCTCTCGCCCGTGTGAGTCAGCTGGTGAAGCCTAAGCTGGGTGTCATACCGAAAAGCCTTCCCACACTCCTGACATAAGTGGGGCTTCTCACCAGTATGGATTCTCTGATGTCGAAAAAGGTGTGAGGGGCGTGTAAAGGCCTTCCCACATTCCTTGCACTCGTAGTATACGTCATCCGTATGAACTCTTCGATGGAGATTAAGTTGTGCGTTAGATGGAAAGGCCTTTGCACACTCCTTGCATTTATAGGGTTTCTCACCTACATGGATCTTTTGGTGCTGACTAAGTTGGGAGCTGGAATGAAAGCCCTTCCCGCATTCCTTGCATTTGTGAGGTTTCTCAGCACCATTACTGCTCTGAGGCTGAGCATCGGCACGTTTCTTATTTTCATTATTTTTTTCATGCAGTTTCTCATGCTTGATCAAGTCTGACCTACTGGTGAAGGTTTTCCCACATTCTCCACATTTAACATCTTTTTCCTTATTATGACTCATCTCCTGTTGAACGGGATGTGACCTGGCAGCTTTCTTACATTTTGTACATCTGCAGTCTTTCTCTCCAGTGTGAGTGGGTGGAAGCGCTGTCCCAGCTGTGCGTGGAGCAGAACTGGATGGCGCCGCAGCGCCCGTGGCGGCTGCCCTGGCGGGGCCCTGCTGCTCCGGCTGGCTTCTCGTTCCTCTGTTATCGCCGACTTTGGCGCGTTCAGGGTTAGGCTGTGTGGATCTCTTTGTCTTGAGATGCAACAACTTAATTTCATAACCATTCTCTTTCACATGTGAATTGAAATTAATTGCCCTTTTGGATGCCAAACCTGTAAAACGATAAAGAAAACATGAGATATTTTCGCATTGTAAGAGAAAGGAAAGTCTTACAGAAGGAATAATAGAAATAATAACCTAAACAATTTTTAACAGCTGCAATTTGACCAAAAAGGGGATGATGCGAAGTAAGAATAGAGAAAATGAGGAGAGTGAGAAAAGGGAGGGGAAGGCGCAGCACGCGGGAACTGGGGGAGACACGTTCAAAACATGAGCCCAAGAAATGATTCCAATATCAAACCCTCAACTTCAGCTTAAATACACAGCCAGCATATTTTGACGTCTCTTTCCCTGTATTCCCACCGTTGTGTCCATCTCTCCTCAGGATCAACACAGATTTCTAAACCCCCCAGCTTTCATTATTGTTTTCCTACACACACACACTATATATAATTTTCAAGTCTCTGATTACAGGACAACCAGAGGAATGGTTTAAAAATTCAATGCAACCACACCCCTACCTTGCCTAAAAATCTTTCAATGACTGTAGTGTTCTCAAGAAAATATCAAAATATCAAATTCTTAGATTTCGTGAGAAAGCTCTGTGATCGAGACCTTTGTTATGTCTTTAAGGTCCCCCAATTCCTTTAATATATGGATTTTCCTGCTTGTTTCCTACTGTGCATCCGTCTGGCCTCTCCTTATTAGATATTTTGAAGAATCTTCCCAGTCTCATACTATTTCTTTCATACCTCTGCCTCACAGTGACCATGGTCCTCTTCTGGCCATACCACAGGTCAGATATCAAATGGTTCCTACAGAGGTCTCATTGACTAGGAACTTAAACAGGCCCAAAGGCCTCTGCAGGTGGCGGGTAAGTCTTGCTGTCCATTAAAATTCAGGACAGGGCCTGGAAAGAGCTCCCACCCTGAAAGCATGACCACCAGATCTGTGTTCCCTTCCAGCCCAGCGTCAGGAGGATTCTCTGACAAAGACATTCCTCGTCATCTACGGGATCAGTTAACTTCAGTCCTACCACCCCTTTGGATTCTAGCTACTGCTCAGGTTATGAAACGCCTCCTTTTACTCCTTTTATAACCTCCTTCCAGTGTTTTCTAACTACCCTTAGAGTAACATCTACGTAAAATCTAAATAAAAGGTCTATGGTTTAGTTGCTACTATTATGCTAACAGCAATGCATTTGCTGGGATGCTCTACTAAGATTAGGGAAAGCTGGGCAAATGGTACATGGGAACTCTGCCAGTTATGAATCTCTGCAGTCCAATTTTGGGTCCTTTCACTCCTCTCTGCTTTAAGGTCTAAACCTACGTGTGATCAGTCAATTCTAATAGTTTATTCTCTCTCCTGATTTGGTCCTTATTGCTGCCCAGCTCTTGTTTTCTTTTGCTGGGTCCTCCTTTTCCCAACTAAACAATACTGTGCTCCAAGGGCTGAGTCCTCTAACAGTCTTCCCCTCCAGCTTCGTTCTTACCCTAGGTGCTGACTGCCTTTAAGCTTATTACCCAGGAATAGTGAGCAGTTTTCCAGTCTTATAATTAGGATTATTAGACTAATTCCAGCCAATAGGATTAGAATGGGAATAAGAGTATGCTGCTTTTCCTCTTCACTGTTCCTGCTGCTTGAAAGGTGACTGGGGATCTTCATGTACCACCCACCATCCCAGGGTGTGCAGCCTGCACTGGGTAGAACTGAGCCACCTGGGTTAGATTCCTCCACTGCTGCCATGAAAATAAAATTAGATACAGGTATCTATGTATTCATTGTAACAGAAGTAAACTTACAGCTAACTGCTGTACCACTTGCTTGCTGACATTCGGTTCATTGCACCCATTTCCTGCCTGGACCCTTTTGCACATGCTGTTCTTTCTATGTTGACACTCCCCTCCCCTGCTGTGTATTTTGTATCAAATTCCCCTCCTCCTCCTTTCAGCTGTCCTTACTCTAATGTCACCTCCTCAGAGGAACATCCCAACACAAGTCTATAGAATACACTTCATAATGTTCCGGTTTGTGACTTTTTATTGGTACCTAACTATGCCTGCCACCATTTTGGGCCCAGCTCTCCCCTTATAATGTGCAGTAAACCATGAGACAGTCTTCTACTTGCTCACTACTGAACCTACAATAAACAAGGGTTGATCTGCTTTTCTTTCAAATCAAAATGTAAAATGATTACAAAGTGAGGGATGGAACTTGACACAGCAGACAGGATGCTGCTTGGGGACTGCTGCATCCCATACAAGAGTGCTTGGGTTTGAGTCTTGGCTCTGTTTAAAATTCCAGCTTCCTCTTAATGTCCATTCTGGAGGTGCACAAGCTGGATCAAGTACTTGCATCTCAGCCACCCACAAGGGAAACCCACACTGAGTGCCAGGATCCTGCCTGGCCAGGCCTGAGCTGCTGTGGGCATGGGGAGTGAAGCAGCAAACACAAGCGCTCGCTCTCATAAATCAAAAACAAAACAAAACAAAACACCCTAAATGCTGATTCATGGCCAATTTGTTAAAAAAAAAAAATTTTTCTTTAGAATGGGAAACTTGGTACACTCATTCCCTCCTCTGTCAACTGAAAACCACCTATCCAGAGAAAGTACTGAATTTTGGTGAGACATACAGGATCCACCCCTAACTAGTTCCCATTCCATTCAGCTGCCCTACATCGGTCAGCTGAGCTACAACCAACAGAGTTTTCTGATCTCTTTTGCAGCTTTGGCAAAAGGGCCACTGTAACCCAGCATTGTGCCCAGACTTTTAGCCTCCCGGAAAATTTCTTCATGGAGTACCTGTTCTGTTTGATTGACTCAGGGCTCACGTCAGCTGGTGGAAAGGCAGCAGCAACAAAGAGGCAGAGAACGCACATCGTAGAGGAGCACTGAAAACGGCAGCCAACCACTGACAACACTGTGGCTGCATTACACTGACCTCAGCTGGGATAGCAAACGGGCCACCACAAGGAAACCGGATACAGACAACCAGGAAAAACTCTAATACGCTTGCGGGACTAGAAAAGGCGGTGGATGTCAAGTGCTGCTGTTAGCCCAAGGGAGACCTTGGGAAGCACAGGTCGCAGGTTTCCTGATTGCCTAACTCTGAGGCTCTGTATAAACTAGATAAACGCAGGTGTCCTGTAAACTGCCTGCCCTCCTGACAGGCCAAAGGAGACCCTGCTGCTTCCCCGTCAGCTCCTAGAGCGTCAGCTCCTAGAGCCTGCCCGTCTTTCACAGCTGCAGCACTGCAGCTCTGAATTCATCTCTGAATTTCTTCTCTGACACTTTAAAGATGCTCATGATCACGCTGGGCCCACCTGAATAAAACTAATTTAGTGACAGCTTTTTCTAAGATTACCCCCCTTTTGTTCTTTTATACTAACACATGAGGAGGTTTCAGAGATTAGGATTAGAAGGAGTCATTCTGCCTAAGATTGGCTTTTAGTGTTCAGAAATGTAGTTTATGCGACAACTGTATAAAAAAAGCAGGTAGCAACGAAGAAAAGAGGTTTAGAACAGACTTTTCATGTAAGATTAAAGTTCATTATCAAACCAAACCAAAGTGCTTTAAGTAAAATGTTAGGAAACCCACTAAGAGAAAGGTCCTAAAACTAAAGTAAAAAACAATAAAGTAACTGAAATAGTACTCTAGGAATTAGCTTACAGGTAAACATAATAAACACTACAAACAAGTGGCTGAGGTTGGCAGAACAGTCAAAAAGCGCAACCCAGGTATGCGTCTATGATGTCCGACGGAGTGCTCCTACCGACCTCAGAATAGCGTCCACCTGCCACGCCTTCCCAAAGCAAGGCTTTAAGCACTCACCTGGACACGGCTCTTCCGGGTCTTTCCTCTGACTCATCCAGGGCTCTTTTCCCCTCTCCAACAAGGAGATCACACTTGGTTTAGTGTTGTGAAGTCCTGGTCAAGGAAAACAGAAACCACGTCATAATGTAGGTGTCAGTGCATGATGACCAAGAAGGAGAAGCCAGACAACAAAGGCACAGAAAAATTAAGGCTGGGGCCCCGGGGGCCCAAAGGGAACAATCAACACTCAGTTCCTCAGGGACAGACTTGTTTTTGGTGAGCAAGAACCATTAGTTCAGTTAGGGGTGGAGATGCTTTTATCTTGCCAGGGTCCACTTGGATGTGTGTAATATCACTCACAGGCCATACAAAATCATCAGCTTAAAAATCAGCCTGCTACACATTTATACATGCCAAGTCGGCCTGCTGGCCTCGGTAAGGCCGGACCAAAGGACCTGGGGGATCTTAGAATGGAGCACGGGCTGAACTTCCCCCAGCCCTGACTGGAGACTTGGAAAGCATTTATCAAAAACTTGAAACAAAAAAGAAAATAAATTCCAAAATGCCGATTCTGTATTGGGGGTGGGGCAGGGATAAACTTACCCACTAAAATCAGGTTGCTGTAATTCTCCAACATCACATCGCGGTACAAATCCCTCTGAGCAGAATACAAGCATTCCCACTCTTTTTCAGAGAAGTAAATGGCCACATCTTTGAATTTCAAGCCCTGAAACTACAAATAAGTACATTAACTTGTATTTATCCATAGACAAACATATTAAGATATATAAAACAAGAAGTACAAAACAAACCAGAGAGGACCCGGCACAGTGGCCTAGCGGCTAAAGTCCTCGCCTTGCACGCCCGGGATCCCATATGGGCACCGGTTCTAATCCCAGCTGCCCTGCTTCCCATCCAGCTCCCTGCTTGTGGCCTGGGAAAGCAGTGGAGGACGGCCCAAAGCCTTGGAACCCTGCAGCCGTGTGGGATACCTGGAAGGAGATCCTGGCTTTGGATCGGCTCAGCTGTGGTTGCTGTGGTCACTTGGGGAGTGAATCATCGGATGGAAGATCTTCCTCTCTGTCTCTCCTCCTCTCTGTATATCTGACTTTCCAATAAATCTTTAAAAAAAAAAACTTTCCAATAAATCTTTAAAAAAAAAAACAACACAGAAAGCAATCCGGTAGGGTTCCTCCACTGGGAAAACAAGCTGTGCTGACTCAACATGAATGTGACAGTGCAAAAGAAAAATGAAAGTCAAGTGCCCACAAGATTGTTGACCACAGCCATTGCGGGAGATTTAACCCCGCAGAACTCACATTACCCAGCCAGTTCTGGAAATAAACAGTCCACACAGAAACTGTACATGAAGGATACAGCACACTGTATAGTAAACACTTCTCAATGCCTCTTTCCATGCTCCCATTTGGAAAAAAAAATTCTAAAATCTCTGAACAGGAGTTGCATATAAATTATATAACAACGATTTAGTAAAACCTTTGCATATAATTTATGTAACAGTGTTTTATTAAAAACCTAGGCTTTGGGGCTGATGTGGGCTTAATACGCTAATCCTCGCCTGCATGCTGGCATCCCATGTGGGCACTGGTTCGAGACCCAGCTGCTCCACCTCTGATCCAGCTCCTTGCATACGCCTTGGGAAAGCAGCAGAGGATGGCTCAAGTCCTTGGTGCCCTGCCTTCGATGGTCTAGATGGAAGAGTGAACAACTAAGAAATGTGTTTTGCAGATGAACACCGAGACACGTGCCGGATGGAGAGAGATGCAGCGGGCAGCAGCTTTTTGTAACGCCGCTGGGGGAATGAACAAACTGGGGACCAGTTCCAGCGGGGGTGTGGGAAGCAGGTCGCTTCCGGACAAAGAAATACACTCAAAACCTTCTTAAATATACATTCAGTGACAGCTGAGAGAAATATTTACTCATATGAGGCTTTTTAGGATTGTTGAAATTATATCCTTGTTTTTTTTTTTTTTAATGGAAAAACAGGGAGTCTGAGAAAGGCGAGAGAGAGTAAGCGCGAGCCACCGGCTGAGAGTCCTCCTCCCTTCCTCTGCCGCCCTTGCTGCTACTGGAGAGAGAGAGAGAGAGAGAGAGAGAGACACACACACACACACACACACACACACACACACGATTTCTTTCCCATTATGAATTCAGAAGGAACAGCCTCTACACTGTCACAGCTGGTCCCAGTCCTCAGGCTGCTGAGACCCGCCCTGGGCACATGCTTTGTTTACTCCCACGAATGGGGTAACTCAAAGATGAACAGCTTTGAGGCCCAGGAGCACAACCAGCAGACAGGCCCAGCTCTGGATGAAGGGTTCTACAACTAAGAGGGCTAACCTCATAAGCCCATCCTTTGGTTTCATTCCCAAAATAGGGGTCCTCACCACAGCCACTGAAGCCTCATTCCATGCAGAGCCACTGGGATCCTGGTGCATGCAAGGTGAGAACTTTAGCCCCCAGGCTACCGCATTAGGCCTTAAACATATTTTTTAATGAAAATAAATTAATGGGCTGAATGTGAAATTAACAAGATCAAAATAATTTTCAAAGGTTGAACTAAGTCAAATGGGAACTGAAAGAGGCATACAGAGTCACTGAGGCTTGTACTGCCCAGGGAATATGCGCCGAGCCCAGAGTCCATGATTCCCCATTCCTGCCCTTGAGAAGCAGAGGCAAAGGCAGGCCGAGTCTGCAGCCAGGATGAGAGGCTAATCAGCTGTGCAAAGACCTAAGACCTCGAGAACTGGAAAAACTGGAAGTAGAACATTCCAATTATTTTTAAAAATATTTATCTGGAAAGCAAAGTGACAGGGAGGGAGGGAGGGAGAGAAGAAGTGACAAAGAGATCTTCCATGCATGTTTGTCCTGCAAATGGCCACAATAACCGGGGATGGTCAGGCTCGAGGCCGTGAACCTGGAACTCCATCCGCGTCACCAGGGCTCTAGGCGCTGCTTCAACGCACTCAGTACAATGCTAGCTTCACAGCATTCCCAGTCTCAGGGAATCCACATATGGTAGCTGCAATTTACACTAAGATGTTATGAAGAAGTTAAATTCTGGGCCAATCTTATACACTCCACAAGAGTAACATTAAAATTAATAATTGATCTGGTAATATGTAAAAGAAAGCTACATTTGATATTAGAGATCAGTTAAAGTCATTATGTACATTAACAAAAACAAAACATTTATAATCACCTAAAGATAGAGAAAAAGCATTTCAAAATGTAATATTCATTCATGATAAAAAAAAAATCAGGAGTGAACCCCAGCTGTAGGTAAATGTCTAGGTTGCCTTGTACCGAGCACATTGTTAACAGTACTGGGAGAAAAGCAGCTAATAGCTGGAGGGCATTCTGGGTCTTTGATGTCCAATTTGTACTAACTAGACCAGTGCCAGTGCTTCTGTTTAGAAGTTAACTCCTCTTTTTTTTTTTTTTTAAGATACGCGGGGGCACGGGCCCGGCACAGTGGCCTAGTGGCTAAAGTCCTCGCCTTGAACACAGCAGGATCCCATATGGGCGCCGGTTCTAATCCCGGCAGCTCTACTTCCCCTCCAGCTCCCTGCTGTGGCCTGGGAAAGCAGTCGAGGAAGGCCCAAAGCTTTGGGACCCTGCACCCGTGTGGGAGACCCAAAGAAGTTCCTGGATCCTGGCTTCGGATCGGCATAGCATCAGCCATTGCGCTCACTTGGGGAGTGAAACATCGGACGGAAGATCTTCCTCTCTGTCTCTCCTCTCTGTATATCTGACTTTCCAATAAATCAATAAATGGTTAAAAAAATCTCATCCATGGCCCTCTCATCCCTTGACCCTTCCCACCCTCATCATTCATCCTTCTCAACTATGTAAACATCATTTAAAAAGATTTGGCTGATCCCCATCCTGCCAGCATAACCTGCAGATTGGTGAATTTCCATATTTCCCAACTTTGTACACCATATTATTCAGAGGAATTATGAGGAAGCAGAGGCAGTAAACAGCATCTACAGCTTTCATTACAGTAGAGAGCCTTCCATTAACCTGGACAAGCCCAACCAGGCCTCGCAGAATTATAAAGAGAAGTCAAAGGGAAAGAAACAGTTGAAAAGAGGAAAAGAAATAATGTTTCTTAATTCATTAGAGAAAAGGAGTCTTTGACAGTTGCCCTGCTAGCCAAGTGCCATGGCCAGACACATCAAGGAAACTCCAAGTTTTATATTCTAAAGACAACATGCAAGCTTCAAAATTGGTACTTCAAAGTTACAGAAAAAGGTTTCAATAAGTACTCAGCATTAAGAATTTTACAGTCAGTACTTTCTGGTCATATATGATAGCAGATACGTTATGGTCCAGATTAGATAAAGTACTGTAGAAGATTGTGTGACTTCTGTGCTTGTGTGGTAGAGAATCTTCTGGTATGACATATAAGGAAGGGAAGAACAGGTAAGTAGAGAATTACCTGAATATGTTTTTGAAAATCTATTTTGCATGTGTTTATAGACTCAGAGTTAAGTATGGAAAAACATTCGTTAAATAATTTAAGACAAAGGGAAAATGTTTAATACAAAAACTATTGTTTAAAATAAACCAAAAGCAATCGCTTACAAGTGGGTCAGGAAAATCAATAGGTAATTTAGAAATTCTGATTTTTATCATTTATTAACTGTAATTTTGGGGCAAATGACAGAATCTGTATCCTCAAATGTCAACTTCATATCTTATTAAGATGAGCTGATATGACACATCCTAACTTTACACATAAGGAAAAAGGTCACCAATGAAACCGAGGTCCAGGAATTATAAAGAGTTTGAAATGCGAACACAAAGTACATGACAGAACTAATGAATTATAATCACACCTCCTACGGTGGTGGTTTAGATGACACAAGAGCACAGTGGAAAAGTCTTTGAACTAGAAGCAGCTAGAAGAAGTGTTCAATTAGTTGCCTCCACTGGAAGTGTGACCCTACTCTGAAAAAAATATCACATATTCATATATATGTACAGCACAGCAGAAGCTGAAAATATTAACAAACTGAATGGGACCATGGGTGACTCATATAACTTTCTAAAGTTTTCAAATTTTTGCAAGAATCTTTTATTACTCTGATTATTAGGTCATTCTACCTTGGGAAAACTTCTTTAGAGCTGAGATGGACAGACAGCAGATTCCATGTTATCAGGAATTTGTAAGAATTTATAAATAAAAATGCTACTGCATCAGACCCTGGGGAAGACACAGCAGAAGTGCGTAAGACTGAAGTAAATATTTCAGTCTGTTCTTCAGTTTCCCTATTGTCTTAGAAAAGCATGTTTACTGTTCTGAAAATGAACAAAACTCAGAGAAATGTAAATTCTAGATCAGGTGAGTCCATGAACGTCGAGCAGACTGCCTCGGGACTGGCTTAGGAAAACTTTATACAAGCACCGTTTCCTCTTCTCCTCCCCTTTCTTTAAACCATTATTTTAAGTTTTTAGATGGAAGGAATTAACAGGTCTTAATTAATCTTGACAACCAAGAAACAAAGTGGCAAGCATAACTTACCCCCACTGTGACTTCAGGTGGACAGCCGTTCCCGCTTCTTCTGGGCACTGAAAGAAAAAGGAGGAAAGGGGGCTTAAGAAACTAAGACAACAGTTCTTCATGCAAACCCTGAGGAAGACGTCGGGGAAAAATCCCTGTCCCTCACCAAGGCAGTCAAAGCCCAAACTCTCACGGCCCTCCCTACTCCTAAGGAAAGCGGCTGGGGGCGCACAGCCCACAGGGCGGCCGGGCGCTCCTCGGCGCAGCCTTCCTCCCCGGGAGCAGCACAAGCCCGCCATCTGACGCAGTCCACACTTGCAGCTCCACGACACACGCCTGTCCAGGGCTGGAACCAGGGCCTGGGTCCCTGGCTGCAAGTGACGCAGGACAGGAATGTCTACAGCCCCTCTCCCTAATCCCAAACTGACTCTGCGGACTGAGCGGCACGGACTGTCACTGCCTGCTACCTTTGCAAGTACCGGGCCACACGGGCTTGCACGCAGTCAGGGATTTCAGACACACGCCAGGAACCGTGCGTGGGCCAACCTCTCCCAGTGCAGCTCAAGAGCACACAAAGGGGGCCCACCTCTCCGACCCTTCCCAAAGGCAGAACCAAAACGATCCGGCCCCAGGAAGAAGTTGGGACAGCTTGTTGCGTCTGTGTGGCACAGATTCCCTCTCAGGCAGCAGGACACAAATGCCATGGATCACGGTCTAGGCACGGCAAAACACCCGCAGCACTCTGGGCTTCCAGCTCACAGCACTCCCATGCCAACAGCCCTCCGCAATGGCGCCGCGTGCCCTCTTCCCTTCAAGGGCTGGGAGCGCCTTCTTTACACGTGTTCAGCCCTGCACCTTCACTCACGTCACGTGGCAATGTCCTTCATTTTGGAAATCCGGACATCGCCAGCAGCTGCTCACGATGAAGACGACACACTCCCCTCCCGCCCCAAGCACGCTCCGGGGTTCCTCCGCTTCACTCCTCAAGCACCCCGGTTCTCGGAGTGGACGGAGTCCGTCTCACGTCAGCAAGCTAAGGTGTTCAGGAGACCCCGAGCCTTTTCGTTTGGTCTCCCACAAATCCAATCAGCGTCGGCCAACGACACCGGAAGTGGCGCAGGCCGCGGCGCCCTTCGGGAAATGTCCGAAGCGTCCGAGCAGGCGCACTGGCTACGCCCCGTCCTTCCTGTCCAAAGCTGGGCAAAGCGCCATCCGGACCTTGCAGCTGCATGGAAGCACCGCATAGGACCTGGACAAATCGACCGGACACAGCCCAGAGGTAAGAAAAAGTCGTGGGACAGTGTCGGCTGCTGGTAAATGAGGCGGGGGCAGTAGCAAAGCGGCTTCTTGGACTTCTTGGATGCCCGGACTCTTTCAAGTCCTCGCCTTAGTTTAAAGAAAGGTGTAACTGGAGTTCTAGCCGCAAGGGGAGTTAAGTTTCCTCGATCATGATCACGCCAGGGAAAGGCGTCCTCTCATCTGGGAGGTCCAGGACCGATCCCTAGAGGCGCTGGTCCTCCGGGATGGGGGTGCAGGGGTGTGAACATGGAGACCACGCGGCGCGGTCGGCTCAGGTGGGATGGCGGGCAGGGCGACCAGCCTGGCGGGGTTGGGGAAACGCAGTCCCGCCTCGAGGGCCGGGGATGCGGGCCGTAGTGAGCGCTATTGTAATATTAAGAAGTAGTAGATTTAAAGACAGAAATAGAGTGGAGAAATACTTTTAGTAGAAAAATGTACTACGTTGTCTTTACTGTGCAAACCGCTATTTTCTGTGTAATACTGTTTTTGTAATTTTAAAAATAAACACAGAAACCTGGTGAGCCACAGAGCCAGCCCCTGTAGTTGTCCTTAATGTTGGATAATTGATCCATGTTAAATGGAATGTTGCAAGACACAGCTTTTTAAAATAAGAAACAATTTTGGTTTTGTTCCTACTGAATTTAACCCTCAGGGAAATGCAGTATCATTGTAAAGAAATTAATTTGCAAGTTGCTGAGATTCTCCATCATGCAGAGTACATGGAAACATTTTGGAGACAAAGACAGGAGTCTGTATTGTAGAGATTATAATCTGCCAAGAAGGCAGGGGCACTGAGATGAAATAGCTCATGAATGCTTTTGGTTGATGGCAAATCTTCCTGCCTTATGAGGAGGGATCGGGTGTCATGGAGAGCTTAGTGTAAAAGTCTTAGTGAAGAGTGGTGGGCTTCTGTCTGTCAAGAATAGCTGAAAGGTATGTTGTACCAGTAGCCAACTCTTCTGTTCAACTGGCATTGGTTTGGTTTCAGTTAGAAAGCAGAAACACCAAAATAATGTGTTTTTTGTTTGTTTGTTTGTTTGTTGTTTATTCCAGAAAGACAGGAACTGGAGTGAGGGTGGAGAAGAGAGCAAAGAGGGAGATCTCCTGCTGTGGTGGCAGGAAGGGCTGCGGGGAAGGGTCAGGGAGCAAGCCAGGAAAAAGGACAAGGCTGGGTAGGGAAGCTGCAGCATGCGCGGGGAAGGGGGCAACACCACAGTGATGTCACTGGAGGTTTAATATAAAGGAGTATGACTTAGAGAGTTCTCAAGAGCTCCTTAGAGCTAAGGCAGAGTGCCCAAGGAAAGACAAACTTGGCAGGAGGTCCCGTTTCAGACACTGCTAGAGAAAACATGGCTTAAGCCCTCAGGACAGTGGAGAAGTTTCCTGGGTTACAGCGTATGGTTAATCAGAGTGTGGTTGGCACTGCAAGCATGAGACCTGGGGTACGTGATTTCCCAATAACGGGGTGGCAGGACACACAAGCCAGGATTGATGGGCAGTCTGCAGAGGAGCTGGAGACCCCATCCCGAAGGACTGCTCAGCAGAGGGTGGCTGGGCCCTGGCCAGCTCTGCATGCTCTGGAGCACAGCTGTTGCCAGGCATCACTGACTGTTCTCATGCATACCTTCCCACTGAGCAATAGGATGAGAGTAACTATATCAGCATCCAGAGCCTTCAACACCTCTGCAGAAATGTTTGCTGACAAGGCTTAATGCTAACACTCACTGTAAAGGACATGATTAAGATGCAGTCCATCTTCAGAGGAAGTTTTAAGGGTCGGAAGCTGAGAGGCAGTAAATCGGTAACTGGCAAACTATCCCTAACCCTTTGGCAATTCAGTTTCCATGCCCTTTGGCATAAATTTAAACTTATCCGGAGTAACAACACAACTCTATATTTCTACCTAGCAAGGAAACTATCCAGATGAAAAGCAGCACAATCCCAACAGTGGCCACACTAGTTAATAACTGGATAACCACTCATTATATTAATTGCTTGGCAACTTCAATCACATTTTCACTGCGTATTTTGATACTTAATGAATACATTGGAAAGTTAACCTCTAAAAGTCTGTATTTGAAAACATTGCTGGGTATAAAAATAAGCACACATACAAATCAAGAAAGGATAAAATGCACAATGCTACCACAGTTCTTGTCTGTAATTAGATGGTAGGTTATGCTTGATATTTATGCACTCCTTTCTCAACAGAACATTCCATGCTTCCATCATCTTTGCTGACAACCTCAGATGCTCTGGGTTCTTGTTAGGATAACCCATTCATTGAATCCTGAAACAACTTCTGTTTATCACTGCCATTTTTCCATCTGCCATTATAGGAAATGCTAGGCTGCTGTTTCCTCCTCCCATACTTTAAATACTCTCTACAGTACCTAAATATGTAATGAAATGAAAATATGCAAATTTTGTTTAAAGGGTGTTGTTTAGGTAATTAACGACAAGAAAAAAAAGTGTGTACATGTTCAGTGTAGTATCACCTAAAAAACATTTTTGATCTGTGGATGTGGAACTTGTATATACAGAAGGCTGACTGTGTTCAGGAGGAGGAATCGCTGTCCCATCCATGATGGAGGAGTTCCAGGAAAACTGACATTTGAGCTGGTAGTCAGGTGGTCCTCACAGGAGCAGGGCTGTGTTAGGGACTTACTGCTGTTGGCTGCTATTGCAGAAATTAAAGGGAAGGACTACGGCTACTTGATTATGGTCCTTTTATTAAGGAAGAAAATTCTTCCAAACGCCCCTCATCCCAAAATATTGCTTATATCTCATTTCGGTGGCTACCCTTAGTGAAGACAGACTAGGCAATGAAATACAGAATGCTTCCCACATCTGTGATTAAAAAAATCAACAAAGGGGATCTGGGGCCATCGGTTGCATCTTTTAAACACCAGCGTCTGACACAAGCCCGCACCACCAGAAAATTATCTTCTTAAAGTAAAAACAAGAATCTGAATCCCAGAGTGGAGACTTTAGAGAAACAAAGAATATATTTTTAGCTTAAGACATAGGAAAAAATCAGACTGTTGATTTGGAGTTTACTGCAAGTCAGATTCCCTGGAAAGAACAACTTCATGAACAGCAGTCACTTCCAAGAAGAAACTGTGGGGTAAGGGTTAGAAGTGGCAGAGGAGGAAAGAGCATGGGACCTGTGCACAGAGGTGAGAGTAGCAGGTAGATGGGTGTATGGTGATGCTACTACAAAACATTTACAGAGGCTCAGGTGCCTCACGCTGCAGGAAACACTTCTCTGCTTCCAGAACCTGTTCCTGTAAGGAACACTCAGGCACAGCAGACATCGCTGCACTCTGAACAGTAAAGCTTAGCAAGTTATTGTACAGCATGCAAAAGGAAAGTAAAATTTCATGGAAAACAACCGTTTTGAAACAAGGCACAATATTATAGTCCTCTGTCAAGTTCACTTAACAGACTACATCAGGATCATCTTATAAAATAACTTATTTGTCACTCAGACGCTGAATTTGAAAGACAAACAGCAGCTGGTCATATGGGCAGGCACGCTCAAACTTTAGTCATTAAGTGTGCCCTGGAAGCAGCTGCTGAGGGTTTGTCTCAGCTTTGCACTGGCATTCTGCCTAAAGCCTGGAGCAGCTGAAATTCATGTCTGTTTACTGGTACACAAAGTTGCCAGCTGACACTGCCCCCATAGCTGACATTCCCATAGTTTGCCAAGCTAAGGAAAAACGAAACAAGCTGCATTAACTGTACTAACAATCATGAGCTTTCATTG